CCCCCCCACCCGGGATCATAGTGATCATAGCAGCTTCCCTCGGTCTCTCCTGATCACTGTGAGAAGCATGCCATCAGACTGTTCCATCTGCTGACTGGGGCTGGAAAAACCTCTCCGCTCACCTACAAAAAACATTTCTAATTCATCTTTTTTTTTTCTGATTGCACCTTATACTAAAATGTTGGTCTTACTTAGATTTCTTTCCTCCATATCACAACAGAAAATCCTGAACCCAATTACCTTTCTCCAGATATACCACCCTAAAGATGGAGGACAGGTACCCGAACATTTTGTATTATGACTGTTTTATCAAAGACTTTGGGCAGAGATGATGAGTTCTGCCTTTATTCATTATGGAGGTGACTATGTTCCCTTATTTTCTTCCCTGCCACCAAATGAATATTTTCTCTTTTTGCTATACTTGGTACTTTTTTTTTTTAAGGTAAACCATGTTCATAACAGAAAATGTCTTATGTGCAAAAGGACACATCAAGCAGCAGTGGGAGTGGGGACCCAAAACCCCAGCACGACCTCACCTCCCAGAGGCCACGTGCCTCCTCTCTGTCGGTTCTCACCTGCCTTCTAGGCATTCATAGCAGGAAGTCCAAGTCCTACTGGCTTATCTGTAGCTTGCTATGAATATATAATGACATGTGTACGTACCCATATCCACCCCCGTTCCCACCCCCTTCTATCCATCTACACAATTTCAACCAAACACCCAGGAACCTGAAGCCACAGGTTCTGAGCAGGAGTGTCCAGTGGCACAACTTTTTTGAAAAGCAAGTCGGGGGTGCAGCCTGTCTTCCAAAATCTCAAGTTCCCACCCTCTGGCCCAGTAATACTGTCTCTGGAGTCCTTCCTAAGAAAATAATGAAAAGAATCAGGGGAAGATTTTTAGGCACAAAAATATATGTTACATCATGATTTATAATCACACTGGTATCAACTTCAATATTCGGAAGGGGATGTTTGGTAAATGCATTTGAAGAATACTGCATCAATTAAACTTTAAAAATTATGTTTATAAACACCTTTTATTGCCAGGGGAAAATGCTCATGATGCGTTAGGATGAGAGCGCAGTGCACAAAACCGTGTGCGCCGCACAGGCTCAGCTGCCTTCACGAAGCGGTAACATCCGGCACAGGAAACCCGGGACACTGGCCATGCTCTCTCCCAGTGGGTTACGGGTCATTATCATTCGATTACCTAAGCTGTCTGTCTTTTCCAAGTTTTCTACAAGGAACACAAATTACTTTTATAATTAAAAAAAGAAAAGTTTATTTAAGGATTTAAAAAGTTACATACAAGCCAGGGCCAGTGGATGATCTTGTCCAGTCTTAAGGCAATGAATATAAACTGCAGGATGTTGACAGAACACAGTATTTCTAACTAAAAATGAAGAGAAGAATCAGTTAAGCAAAGTAAAAGTTGTATTGAATACTGCAATTATTTGGTTAACAAACTAAAAGGCAATGCAAATTATAATACGGGAAAAGTTTGATGAAGTTATACTGGAACCTCCTGATTTTCTGCACCGGGGAGCGAAGCAACGCGGCGACAGCAAGAAACCTGCCCGCCGGTCTCCTGCCTCGGCCCCTCTGCTTAGCGGCTGCCTGCCCTTTATGCTCTACCAAACAACAGCCTTGTTTCCGGGCTCGCTGGGTAGAGGCAATCCGTGGCAGACAGCACAAGCGTCCTTCCTGCCCCTACCCGTAACATACCTGCACTTCTTTTTTGTACCCAGGACTCAGCTCCCCACCCCTTCCTTTCTGGCTCCTTGAGGACCTTGTCACATCAAGACATCAATTACGGATTCTTTATTGCATCGTTAACCTCTCCTGTTCCACTGATCCCTCCCAGAAGCACAGACACAAGTTCAACTCATTCCCATTAAACACAAAAGAGCCCCAAGACCAAATGAGCCCCTCCCTCCCTGGAGCCAGCATCCGCTCCCAGGCCTAGCACTTTGTTACCATCCAGCTCAGTGAGACAGCGTGAACGCTCCAGCCCGTGGCCTCCCCATTCCGAGCTCCCAGCACTGCGATCCGGCCTCCAGCCCCGACCACTGGCAACTGCTCCGTCAAGGTCGTCAGTAACCTCTACGGCATCAGACCACCTGTGTCAGATCATCCTACGGGGCATCTGTGTGGCATCTCTTTCCAGGAGCCCGGCACAGTCTCGCCCTCCTCCTGGTGCTCTTGCAGCTCCTTTTCAGTCTCCTCCTCTCCTTGAACCCTGATGCCCCCCAGAGCCTTCAACTTGGTCTTCTGTCCGCACTGGAGAGACACGGACACGAACACACAGGCTTCCCCTCGCTCGCCCTGCTGTCTACCCAGCCCCAGCTTGGGTGGCCTCCTGCTGACTGTTCCACCCGGCTCTGTCTCTGACTCAGCCTTCCTGCTGTGGCCCAGACCCAGCTCTCCCAGAGGTGCCTCAGCCAGAGCCAGTCCCAGACTGAGTCCATTAGCCCCTCACACCTTCACCCCGTCCCCCCTCCCTTGCTGTAAGGCACCGCGGCGGCCCAGTGACCCAAGGACCCAAGCCACACCACCAGCAAGCACCATCTCCTCCCTTCCCACTCCTGCATGCTCCGTCACCACGCCCTGTCCTCTCCACCAGCCCGACGACTACTGCCTCATCAGGCCTTTCTCTCTTCACCAGCCACCACCCCCCATGCCTCCAACAGCCCCCTGACTAGCCTCCCAGCCTCTAGTCTGGAAGGCTCTCTGCTCCCAAATACCCGCCAGGCCGTCTTCCTTCTGGTGGCAGCACTCGCTACTCTTCCGTGGCTTGCCACTGCCTACAAAATGAAAATCACAGGAAGCCGTCTGATCTGGCCCAGAGCTTCCCCAGAGTTCTCGTTCACAGGGCATTTTGTGAGGGAGCAATTCTTTCCGAGGCCTCTGGGCTGAAAGAAATCCTTAACAGTTCCACTGGGTTAAGGAATTAGATCTAAACTTAGTATTTCTGTCCTAAGTAGCCATCTAAAAAAAAATAATAACTCCCATAAATCAAAAGAAAAATATGATTTTTACTTCCTCAGGGAATAACCACAACTAATTCCCGTGAGGTCGTGCGTGCCTGTCGGGCGCCGCAGCCGCCATCCTCATTAGCTGTTCTCCACACAGAGTTTTGCACAGCACGACCTTCTCCTCGCGGCAACTGCCAACAACCCAGCTTCTTCTCCAATATCATCAAAACTAATGTAGGGTGACCTAATAATAAAACTGTAAACTACTTGGAGGTATCCCCGCAGCTGGTGGGTATCATCGCTTTTCCCTCAAAAATGTCCACTATCCCATGGTGCCCTGGGAGTTCACTATGGCGGCCTGCAGCAGCTCAGCACATGCCTGAGGACTGAGGATCTGGCCCCTACGTGGCCCAGTTCCTCTCTGCAGCCTTCCTTTCCCCCAACTCCCACCACTCTCTTTCCACTTCATGCTCCAGGCAATTTTTTTTTTATTGTGGTAAAATACACACAACAGAAAACTTCCCGTCTTAACCATCTTTAGCTGTATATAGCTCAGCAGCGGCACTAAGTACATTCATACTGTTGTGCGACTGTCACCAACATCCATCTCTAGAAGTCTTTGCATCTTGCAAAACCGTGCTTCAGTCACATTGCAGTCACCAGAGTTCACTCAGCATGACAGATTTTCTCCTGCCTCTACGCCTTTGTGTGTGTGAGTCCCTCTGCCTGGAAAATATCATCCCCTACCCCACCTGCACAGGGCGCCCTGGCAAACCCCACTCTTCCTTCATGTCTCTGTGCAAGCCCATCCCCAGGCACCCCCTAGCAAACGTAGTACTCTTCCTCCTGGGACACAAGCACCAAGAGGGAGCTCGACTCCGGACATGGCGCTTCTTCCCCTAGGTAGGAACACCCAGTGTGACTACATGAACGACTTAGTTTTTGTAATTCCACATTAGGAAAATATGGTTTCGTGCCCAATGTAATCCTGGCCCTTGTATATACTTTTACTTTCTAAGAAACAAAGTTCCAAATTTTTACATGTATCTTAAACTTCCTCCTTAGTCGCTATCCGGCTACATTTAGATGGCTCTCTCGGTGCTTTTCGACCTGGGCGCCACGGCCCCTGCCCTAGGAAGAGGCTGGGAACGGTGCAGGGGCGCCCCTGGGTCTCTCACACACTTATGAGGAGAGCCCCTCCACCAGCATTTAGTGGGCGGAGGTCAGGCAGAGGCGTCCCGCAGTGCGTAAGACGGTCCTGCTCGACAAAGCATTTCCTATCCAGAAGGCCACCGGCCCATGTCCCTCCCCCACCGAGAAATGTTGAGCCAAACAGGGACTACCTGGAATGTGTGACCTCAGTGGTTCTGGTTTATGTAAGCCTTTGCAAATGTTTTTTTTTTTTTTTTTTTAAGATTTTATTTATTTATTTGAGAGAGAGAATGAGATAGAGCGAGCATGAGAGGGGGGAGGGTCAGAGGGAGAAGCAGGCTCCCCGCCGAGCAGGGAGCCCGATGCGGGACTCGATCCCGGGACTCCAGGATCATGACCTGAGCCGAAGGCAGTCGCTTAACCAACTGAGCCACCCAGGCGCCCCTGCAAATGGTTTCTGAAGCCTGGTTTGGCTCCGCCTGTGCAGGTAGTAGCAAAACCACGCAAAGCAGCGGGTGGAAATGGTGCCTTGACCAGCACAGAGACACGGAGTCAGGCGACACTGAAAAAGGAGTCCGGAGCTGGCATCAAAACCTGAGTCCGACCACGTAAATTCAGGAGGCGACAGCATGGAAGTGGCAGTGGAGACAGGAAGGAAGCAAGACCATCCGCAGTGTGGCTCACAAGTACGCACAGTGAGGACAGAAAATGCCCAAGCCTAGAATCCTCAGCAGCAACAAAGGAGCCAAAGCAGAGGGGGCCAGTCTAGCCAAAGGCCCAGGAGTGTCAGGAGCCACAGCGGGCCTGGTGGTCAGAAAAAAAGGACTGGAAGGGCCCACTGGATCTGGCCAGTGTCCTGGGAGTGGGGGAGCTGAGCGGGGAGCCAGAGGTCAGAAGGGCTCTGCTGGAGGGAGCCTTTCTGTGAACGAAGAGAAAGGCACAAGAGCCAGACAGAGGACTGAGAAGCTTTTGCTGCTGTCGTTTTGCTTTCTCTTTCAGATGCGAGAGCCCAGTGTTACCAGACAGAGCGTGGATGGACATAGGAGCAAATGCCCGGAGGAACCGGAAGGGGTGAGGGTCTGCCTGCAGCGGGGAGGAGCACCATGCAGAGGCCTGACAGGTACCAGGTTGCCCGGGGGCGAGGAGGGTCTCTGTGCTTCCCAACCTTGCTCTCAGGACTGTCACCCAAGGCATCTTTCAGACATCTTTTTCCGAATTGTGCTCCCTCAAGAAGTGTTCGTCCCCCTGGAAAGCAGCCAGAGGGGCCTTGCAGACAAGTGGCCGGGTTGAGGAAGGCGGGGGGGAAGTGGGCCCTCAGATGGCCCTCCCTCCATGGTCGCTGCTGCGGGACTGGCCACGCTCCCCTGTGCCCTTGCCCTCTCCCCGGTGGAGACCAAGCGTCCTGGTGCTCAGGGCTCAGGGTCCTGTTCCACTGGGTTCCCACAGAGCCTTGCTCCCTCACCAGCCCTCTCTATGGGAGCCTTCCAGCCCCACTGCCACTCTCCTTCCTGCGCTTGTTACTCACCCAGCTCAAAACCAAGCCTCCCTAGCATCCAGTTCTCCCCTCGCCCCGTCCGTGTAGGGCTTTGGGCCCTCAGCTTCCGTGCGGTTCGGTGTGCAGGCTCTGGGGTCGGGCTGACTGACATGTGATCCTGGCCCCGGCCCTGCCCCTTAACGAATGGCCAGGAACAAATCCCTTCCCCTCTCGTAAAACAGGGGTGGCCGCTGCATCTACTTCACCAGGACACTACCGCCTGGGAAGAAACCAGCCCGGGGCCCGGCGCACGGTAAGTGCTCAAGAAATGTGACCTGCTGTCACCTTCCGTACTGGTACTAGGACTGCTCACGCCGCTTTTTGATTCAGCTGTGTCTCCCCTATGTCGAGGCACAAAGGGCTCGAAGCGAACTGGGGAGCAGATGAAACGCTAGATCACGGGGTCTGCGGTGGCGTGGCGCTCGCTCTGAGGTGTCCATGTGCCCGGGCTACACAGGACCGCTTACTGAAGCGAGCACGAGTCTAGGTATTGCTGTGAAAGGACTGCCTTTCAGTAAAGACCATCCTTGAGACTGTGGGTGGTTGCATCGAATGAGTTAGAAAGCCTGAGGTTTCCTGGAGAGGACGAAATTCTGTTTCAAGACACCAGCATCAACTCGGGCTGCATCTTCAGCCTACCGGTCCGCCCTATGAGTTTCAGACTTGTCAGCCCCACCAGTCCATGAGCCAGATCCTTAAAATTAATCAATTGCACTCTCTCTCCCCCTCCCTCCCTTCCTTCCTCCCTCCCCCCTTTCCCCACCTCTCCTATTGGCTCTGTTTCTCAGGAGAAGCCTGACCAACACTGGGGACTAGGGAAAGCCATGGAGCTGGACGGAGCCTGCGTTCTAAGTCAAGAAAGAGAACCATGATTATTTCCATCAGCTTTTGTTTCCTTACATACCATAATCTAGAGTTACAGACTAATCTCTTCCTAACAAAGGGCAAGAAATGTACATTACAATAACAGACCAAAACATTTTACTTTTTAAAACATTCTTGAATATATGAAATCTCACCTCTAGTGACCTGTCATGTCGAAAGCCCCAAACACAAGCTGCAACGGACACCGGGGAGACAAAGAACAGCGGCATGAAGACCAGAAGCCAGAAATGGCTTCCTCTTTCAATCCTGTCACAGACCAGAACTTCAAACATCAACAGGAGCAAGTGGATGCCCACTGCAATTAACATGGCTTTAAACTCCACACACGTTTCTCCTTCTGCTCTAAAAAGAGACATCAGAAGAAGAAGAAGAAAAATACTCAATTCAGAATCTCCAAAACAGGCAGGCAGTCCAGGTCAAATACCAACTTATGTTGATACTATGAACGATATTTATAAATCTGACAAAAAGCAAAGGAAGTTAGGTAAAAAGGGAACTTACACTTAATCTTTAATGGGCAATCTTTCAAACGTCAAAGAACTACTACATGACAATAAATGAACATTACAATCAAACCAGACAAAGTTTTAACTGGATAACGACATTCTCAGAAGTGACAGCCAGAGTTATTACTCCTCTGACAGTAAACATAAATGCTTGTGTTCATAACTTTAAATTAAACTACTTCCAAGATTATTCAAGCTGATTGCTTCTACTACTAAAAACGGACAAATATCCCTTAAATTTCATGATCCTCATCTCTCAACAAATTAAAAACCATGTAAATCACATTTCATGCAATACTATAAAAACAACTAGCTTTATGAATAAGTGTGGGTTATATTTCAAGAAAATATAATAACTATTGTTAGGTGCTATTTTAAAAATGCCGGTAAAATTATGAACGTCTTTTTATTTTCCTTTCTATTCCATGAGGATGAATTAACACCTGCAGATGAAAGAGAAGGAAGAGCAGTTAAAACTGTTTTTAAACAAAATCAGGTTACTTAGCTGTTTAAGTACCATGCAGGAACTCATCAGATTAACAACTGAAAAATAATTAGGCTGCTAAACAGGGCAATGCTTAAAAAATGCATTTGGAAGGCCCACAGTGTTTCATTCAAAATACAGATAAACATTTATGATGTATCTTCTTGGTGATAAATACACCTGAGGTTAGGACACAGAGAACATGAAGCCAGTGGTCACCTGTATAGGACCCACCAACACTCCACCAGAGAATGTGAACACCGGATGACCTTGCCTGCACACTCACTACATCAACCACACACACACAGTTCCTTTTCTCGCTCTAAAAATCTTAAATTAAACCAACCGGGCAAAGCTCAAATAGCTTCTCAATATCAATGAGTGGAACCTAACATGTTTAGTTATTTACCTTTTCATTCTTTGAGTCATAAATGTTAGATATCTGAAAATATCTCATAAAAAAGAAAAGATTTGCCAGCTGAACAGGTAATCTTAAAAACGAAAAAAGGAAGTCTAAGGACTTGCAAACAGCTACACACAAACGTCCCCCATCTGCCAAGGCTCTCTGCAGGACTGCTCTAAGGTTCTCAGCTATGCCTGTAGCGATGTGTGTGACACAAGCTAATCAAGACCGAAACACCTGCCCTTCTCGCATGTGAGCAGCTGCCCACGTGGCACTCCTTCCCTCCCCGTCTTCCTGCTGAGGGTTGAGAATAGCCCCTCAAGTGTCCCTTTTCCCTTTCTGAAGTGCCAGCCTCTGAGAGGGAGAAGAGACTCTTTGGGCCCCAGCAGCACTAGGCTGCACACCGGAGCTGAGCCAACTCCAGGAACCTGAAAAAGCTGCGGCAACCGAGAAGAAAGGCACAGAGGGGTTGAAGGTAAAGCTTACCCCTCTGCCTGGCCCCCAAAGGCTCTGCTCTCCTTCACAGCATCTGGGCCTCATCTTGCCCTGTCTCAGCGGCACACTGTTTCCTGGCCAAGCTACCCTCCCAACACACATACTGCTTACAGTCCTAAAATCCCAGGACTAGGAGATTGGGACAAGAGGAACCCCAATTCCAGGACTGAACTGGAGACAGATATATCCCTGATGACCAGAGCCAGGCTTCTGTTTTATGGAACTGCTCCTGCAAACATGATAGCATGATACAACAGTTCGATATTTTGGATGCTTCTTCTATTACGTTGGCTTTTGTGGGAGGGCTAGGATCTCAAGCACCCCAAACGACACTGCTTTTATTTAAAAATGCATATCAAACCCCTAATTTTTAAACTACTTAGAAGAGAACTCAGTTTGCCTATATTACAGTTCTTATAAAACCCCAGATAGGCTGAAAAAAATAGTCCTTAGTCAAAAGTGAAAAACAAGATATTGCTCCCTCAGGGTAGAGACCAGTGGGTTTTATAAAGCAGTATTACCGATATTGGGGATTTCGTGCCCAGACTCCAGTTCCAACTGAGGCTCCAACAATAACCATCAACTTCCACAGCCATATTGGAGCAAAGACAGCCCAGTAACTCCACTGAATGATGCCATCCAGACGAAGGGCCAGCAGCACAGAGAACAGCAGGAGACAGGCATAGATGAGGAATTTACTAGGAGAAAAGTAAAATGATTAAAGATGACTCACTTTTACAACTATGTGACACTGAAAGGGAGAGTCATAACAGCAGTATTTTTGAGCACGTGTGAAGAGTCACTAATTCAACAATCATATATTGAAAAGCTCTACGTAGTAGACATACTGTGTTAGGGGAGTCTGGAAACATAATAAGTTCCCTGCTTTCCAGGGCTTTCTGGTAGGAGGGAGGCCACACAGAAACACAGAATTTTAATACAGAATGGTGTGTGCCAGAATGGTGCGAGGGTAGAGCGTGACGGGAACCCAGAAGAACAAATCTGGATTCTGTCTGGGGGCACTAGGCAGCAGAGAAGCGATGCCCCTGGAGCTGGTTCCAGAAGATATGTGGAAAGCTGCCAGGCAAGAAAGACTGAGATGAGGAAGCATTCCAAGCAGAAGGAACTAGATGTACCAAAACATGGAGACTGAAAAAGGCTGACATGTTTAGGATATGGTCAAGTTTCGTCACTGGCTAATTATTTGATTCTATTTTTTAAAAGATATGGCATTTTTAATCTGCCGTGTTCAGATACAGTAACATTTTAGTACATGTATTATACTTTCTGTGACTGAACAGATTATATACACACACACACACTCACATTTCACATAAAAGGGACTTCCTGAAGAGGATGTCCTTAAAATATTAATTAGAAATTACACTGTTGAGGACTTCTAGTTCTAGCTTTGATGAAGTAAGAGGAATGGGGCTTTTCTTCCCACCTTAAACAATAAACTGGACAAAATATAGGAGACAAGAGTTTTCAGATACTGGACAACAAAGGCTGTGTCCAGCAAAGGACTGTGATGACAGGAAGGAAAGAACGAAAGAAAGAAAGGAAGTGAGTTTAATTACTGCTCCAGCTTACTGCCTAGAAGCAGTTCCCAGGACCAGCAAGAAGGTAGTTAACACCCAACCCTATTGACAATTACAAGAAATGTAAATGGTTTACCAGTTAAAAGACAAGGACTGTCAGATTGGATTAAAAAGCAGGACAACTATATGCTATCTAAAAGAAACCCACTTCATCTGTCTACAAAATCACAGATTAAAACTAAAAGGACAGAAAAAGTTATACCAAGCAAGCACTAACTAAAAGAAACCTGGAGTGACATATTAATATCTGTTTCAGTCTTCTGTTGCTCTAACAAATCACCACAAACTTAGCAGGTTAAAACAATACAACTTTATGATCTCACAGTTATATATGTCAGAAGTCCAGACAAGCTTGGTTAGTTTTGCTGCTCAGATGCTTATAAGGCTGAAATCAAGATGTCAGTTGGCTGGGCTCTTATCAAGGGATTCTGGGAAGAATCTGCTTCCAAGTTCATTCAGGTTGCTGGCAATTTGGTTTCTCGTGGCTGTAGGACTGAGACCCCAGTTTCTTCACTGGCTGTCAGCTCGGGGCTGCCCTTGGATCCTAGAGGGCTCTCTCTGAGGAAGCCTTTACATCTCAAAGCCAGCAGCAGCATACTGAATCTTTCTCACACTTAGACTTCTGACGTCTCCTTCTGCCACATTGCTCCTGCTTCCAGCAAAAGTTCTCTGCTTAAGAGCTCACGTGATTAGACTGGGTCCACCTGGATAATCCAGGATACTATTCCTATCAAGTCCATAACTGTGGTAGGCAGAATTCTAAAGATATTCCCCCAAATTCCTGTCCCCTGGTTATTCAATCAAACACTAATCTAGGCACTACCAAGAAAGCACTTTGTAGATGGAATTAAGGTTACTAATCAGGGGACCTTAAAATAGGGAGATTAACCTAGATTATCCAGGTGAGCCCAATGTAATCATATGAATCCTTAAAAGCAGAAGAAGGAGGCCTACGAGTCAAGAGAGATGTAGCAGAAGCGGAGAGATGGGTTAGAAGGGGAAGTCAGAAAAATTCTAAACATGAGAAGGATTCAACCTGCCTTTGCTGGCTTTGAAGACGGAGGAAGGGAGCCATGAGCCAAGGAATGCAGGCAGATTCTAGAAGTTGAGGATGATTCCTGCTGACAGCCAGCAAGAAAAATGGGGTTCTCAGCTCTACAACCGCAAGGAACTAAATTCTGACAACAACCCAAAGGGTCTGGAAGCAGATGAATCCCCAGAGCCCCAGAAAGGAATGCGGCCCACACCTTGATTTGGACCTTGTGAGACTCTAAGCGGAAAACCCAACTTAGCCCTGGTACACCTGTACTTCTGACCCATAGAAATGTGAGATAATAAGTTCTGTGTAGTTTTAAGACACTAAATCTGTGGTAATTTGTCATGGAAACAATAGAAACTAGTACTATAACCTTAGATACTTCTGCAAAGTCCCCCTTACCATGTAACAGGACAGTAAGAGGTTCCAGGGCTTAGGGCCTGGATATCTTTGCGGGGCTACTCTGCCTGCCACAATATAAGACAAGTATGTTTTTGAACAAGAAATATTACCAGGGACAAATAGGGGCAGTTCATAATGATAAAGAGGTCAATTTGTTGAAGAGGATCTAACAACTGTACATATTTGTGTACCTAATAACAAAGCTTCACAATATATGTAGAAAATATTAAGGAAAAATGGAAAAATCCATAATTATTATTGAAAATTAACACTTCTCTCTCAATAACTGATAGAACACATAGAAATTACTAAAACTGTATCAACCAACATGACCTAATTGATACTGATAAAGCATTCCTCCTACAAGGGCAGAATACAAATTCCTTTCAAATGCACATGGAATATTCACCAAGACAGACTGAAATCTGGGTCATAAAACAAGACTCAACAAATTTAAAAGGATCAAAATCATACAAAGTAAATCTACATACACAATGAAATTAAACTAAAAATCAACAACATAAAGATATCTGGAAAATTCTCAAAATGCTTGCAAATTAAATAACACTATTCTAAATAATCCATAAGTAAAAGAAAACAAACACAAGGAGAATCTGAAAAATTCCAGACTAAATAAAAGTGGACATACAGCTTACTAAAATTTGTGAGCTCCAGCTAAAGCAGTACTTAAGGGAACTTTATAGCATCAAATGTTTTCGTTAGAAAAGATCTAAAGTCAATGATCTAAGATGCCCCTTAAGACACTAGGAAGAGGGGCACCTGAGTGGTTCAGTTGGCTGGGCATCTGCCTTTGGCTCAGGTGCTCGGTGGGGTGTCTGCTTCTCCCTCTCCCTTTGCCCCTCCCCCTACTTTTGCACTCTCTCCAGCTCCCTCTCCCTCAAATAAATAAATAAAATCTTTAAAAAAAAAAAAGAAACTAGGAAGAGAAGGAAATTTTAAAAAGTATGCAGAAGGAAGGAAATGATAAATACAAGTGCAGAAAAAAAAATCAATGAATCTAAAACCTGGTTCTTTGAAAAGATCAAGAAAAATAGTAAACCTATAGCCAGAGTGAGCAGAAAAAAATAGTAGACAAAAATCACCAATATCAGAAATGAAAGCAGGGACATTACTACAAATCCTACAAACATTACAGAGATTAGAAGGGGATATTATGAACAACTTTATGCAAGTAAATTTCTTAAAGAAAGACATTATCAAAGTTCACACAAGAAGAAATACTTTCACATCCCTATATCTATGAAATAAATTAAAATTGTAGTTAAAATCCTTCTCACGAAGAAAATGTCAAGCTCTGAAAAAAACCTATCAAATACATAAAGAAGAAATAGTACCAACTTTGCACAAATTCTTACAGAAAAAGATGGGAGAGGGATATTTCCCAATTTATTTTATGAGGCCAGCATTACCCTGATACCAAAACCTGATCAAGAAAGAAAACTATAAACCAATACCCTTCGTGAAGATAAATGCAAAAACCCTTTAAAAATTATTAAACTGGGGTGCCTGGGTGGCTCAGTTGTTAAGCGTCTGCCTTCGGCTCAGGTCATGATCACAGGTTCCTGGGATCGAGCCCCGCATCAGGCTCCTTGCTCGGCAGGGGGCCTGCTTCTCCCTCTCCCACTTCCCCTGCTTGTGTTCCCTCTCTCGCTGTGTCTCTCTGTTAAATAAATAAATAAAAATCTTTAAAAAAAATTATCAAACTGAATCCAGCAATATATAAAAAGGATATTACAGTATGACCAAGTGTGGTTTAGTCAGGATTGCAAGCTTGGCTTAACATTTGAAACGAATAATGTAATTCATTGTATTAACAGAATGAAAAAAAATGATTATCTCAACAGTTTCAGCAAAAGCATTTGACATAATTCACTACCCATTCAACATAAAAGCTCTAAACAAATTAGGAATAGAAGGGTATCTATGAAAATAATGTTTAATGGTGCAAGACTAAATATTTTCCCTATAGAAACAAGGCAAGTACCTCCACTTCAATACACCTATTCAACATTGTTCTGGAGGTCTAGCCATAACAATAATACATGAAAAAGAAATAAAAGCAATAAAGAATTGAAAGGAAGGAGTAAATCTGATATTTGCAGACAATATGACTATCTGTGTAGAAAATCCTCGCTAATCTACCCCCCAAAAAAACCCATTTCCAAATCAAATCAGTGAATTTAGCAAAGTTGCAGGATACAAGGTAAATGTACAAAAAATATTACTGTATTTCTTTATGCTAGCAATGAAAAATTGGACACTGAGATTTAAAAAAAAACAGCTATCATTTACTGGGGTGCCTGGGTGGCTCAGTCGTTGGGCATCTGCCTTCGGCTCAGGTCATGATCCCAGGGTCCTGGGATCGAGCCCCATGTCGGGCTTCCTGCTCCGTGGGAAGCCTGCTTCCTCCTCTCCCACTCCCCCTGCTTGTGTTCCCTCTCTCGCTGTCTCTGTCAAATAAATAAATAAAATCTTTTTAAAAAAAAAACTGTCATTTACTGCAACTTTCCTATAAATCTAAAACTATTCTAAAATTAAAAGCTCATGAAAAGACTGCCATTTACAATCATCAAAATATGAAACACTGAAATAAACAAAATACGTGCAAGACTTGTACACTGAAACCTACCAAACACTA